GACTGATTTAGGATGAGTTTTGAGAACACATCCAGTTTTTAAGACTAGGACTAGGTGGGGCCTGGCGTGATAGCCTAGTGGTTAAAGTCCTCACCTTGAACACGCCAGGATCCGATATGGGCGCTGGTTCTAATTCTGGCAGCCCAGCTTCCCATCCAGCTCCCTGCTTGTAGCCTAGGAAAGCAGTTGAGGTCGACCCAAATCTTTGGGACCCTGCACCCATGTGGGAGACCCAGAAGAAGTTCCTGGCTCTTGGCTTCGGATTGGCTCAGCTCCAGCTGTTGCAGCTGCTTGGGGAGTGAACCATCAGATGGAAGATCTTTCTCTCTCTCCTCCTCTCTATATATCTACCTTTCCAATAAAAATAAAGATAAAGATTTTTTTAAAAAGACTAGGACTAGGTTTCCACTTTCTTTTTCTTTTCTTTTTTTTTTTTTTTTTTTTTAAGATTTGTTATTTATCTTTATTGGAAAGGCAGATATACAGAGAAAAGGAGAGAAGATCTTCTGTCTGATGATTCACTCCCCAAGCAGCCACAACAACCAGAGCTGAGCCCATAGAAGCCAGGAGCCCAGAGCCTCTTCCTGGTTTCCCATGCAGGTGCAGGGCCCCAAGGCGTTGGGATGTCCTTGACTGCTTTCCCAGGCCACAAGCAGGGAGCTGGATAGGAAGCAGGGCTGCTGGGATTAGAACGAGCATTTATATCGGATCCTGGTGGTGCAAGGCAAAGACTTTAATCGCTAGGCTACAGCACTTGGCCCTTTTGCTTTATTTCTTACACTTTAACATGACATTGGATTTGTAAAGCAATAAAAATGTGATCTCAGTGTCAACAATGCCTATTATAGTAAATTTATAACCTTTGGGGGGTTAGCATGTTGGCTAAACAGGCTAATCCTCCACTGGCCAGTGCTGGTATCCCATATGGGTACACACTTGTGTCCTGGCTGATTCACTTTCTCCCCGGATCTCTGCTTGTGGCTTAGGAAAGTAGCAGAGGATGGTTCAAAGCGTTGGGATCTTGCACAATGTGGGAGAACAGAGGAGGCTGATGGCTTCAAATAGGTACAGCTCCAAGCTATTTGTGACCATTTGGGGGAGTGAACTTGTGGGCAGAGGATCTCTTTGTTCTCCTTCTATCTACAAATCTCCCTTTCAAATAAAAATAAATGTGTTTAAGTAAATAGCAAAAAAGGGTAACTTCTGGACCCAGTTAGGTGTCTAGAGAAGCATGTCACAGAGGACTTATGGAACCAACTAGTGGGTGCTGGATGTGTAGATTTTGATTCCTGGGGTAGGCTGATGCTTGTATTTCAGGGTTAAATGAAATGAAGTTAAGGTCATTACATTTAAAAACCCCAGAGGACTAAAAAAATATATTGTTGCCTAGCTGAAGGCAGAGTGAGAGCAAAAGAGACTGTCCATCTGCTGGTTTGCTCTATGAATGCTTAAAACATAAAGGGCTGGATCAGGCCGAAGCCAAAAGCCAGGAACTCCACCTGTCTTCCACATGGGTGGCAGGGTCCCAAGCATTGGGGCCATCATCTGTGCTGCCTCCCAAAACTCACTAGCAGGTAGCTGAAATGGGAAGTGGGGAAGCCAGGACTTGAGGCAGGCACTTCATAGAGGATGTGGGCATCCCAAGGCACGACTTCACAGCTGCCCCTCAGTGAAGCCTTAAACATTAACCTTACTATCCCCAAACCTACTGTATGCTGAATAGATACTTGAAACTGTCAATATTCTTATTTAATCCCATTCTATAGCAAACCACAAAGCAAACAGTGACTTTATAAGATCTTTCCTTGCTTTTCAGCTGTAAGATGCCACACTGTGTTCTTTGCTAAAAAAGGTGCAATAAGTGTAGTGAAGAAAAGGTAAGAAACGGGGCAAGAGGAGTCTTTCAGAGAACAAAACAGGTGGCAAGTTTTTGGAATTTGTATTTTTGCACTTGCTATTATACAGAGAAAACTCAGAAAGTTCAATTTCTGCTTAGAAAATAGTTAGGATAGTAAGAACACTGTAAAACATGCAGGTTGAGGCAACAATCACTGCAGACTACATATATTTTCCTGGTATCCTGAAAAGCTGCAATTCAAAGATGATCGACTAAAAGTAAGCATTTTATTTTCTTATAGAGTGAGTACCAATCACTTCACCCTGAACATCCCAAGTTCCTTAAGGGCACAAGTACAGCATGGACACAGCCATGTCTGTAACAAGCAATCCTACCTTCTTGGAACAATCAGCATCCCCCTTTTTGTCAAAAAACATTTACACATAGAAGGAGCAGCATGTGTCAGAACCAGGAGCATCATGCTACAGGTTCAGATGTGGAGCAGCATTAAGGTAATAGGCTGATGTTTCCAAAAAATCAGTGCCTTCCAAAAGCCAGTCATACAAACCTTTCTTGAAGTGATACACCTAGCGTTCTGCAGAATGAGAGGGAGGCCAGCTTCCTAACAACATCCCACCACAGCAGGTCAAAGTGATGCTTATGAGCTCGCCCCAGGCCAGCAGTTTGCATCTGTCACATCCAACCTATGCAACAATCCTGTTAGCTCCATTTCCAAGCACCACACTGCTGAAGGCAGCTGGTCAGACTCACAGACTCAAGCTTCCCGTTCTGCCTCTGTGGCTACAGACAAAATTTCATTTAAAAAATTCATCACTGAGCTGGTATTTTATTCAAATCAATATGACATAATATGAAGAGTCAATCACGCATTGCCGAGAACAATGAACCAGTGCCTGAGAATTCAGTTTTCTCCTCTCAGGGCAAGAGAATCCAATCATTAGAAATGTGTTTTCTCAAAGAAACATTATACACATGTCCAAATTGCAAAGTTACTGAGATTAACTCCCTCCCCTCCCAAGTTCTCCTTTTATTCTGATAGTCCTTTTCCTATTTTATTTCTAATTACTTCTAAGCATATACCCTAAGATACCTTGTTAATTTTCTACAAGTGGTGACATACCAAGCCACAGCAATAGAGGCAAGTCACCGAGGAGAAGGTCTTGACACAAACAAATCTGAAATCCTTACAAACCATCGCGCACCTTGCCAGTGGCAGCAGCACTTGCACGCGAGGCTGATGGCACTGAACACCGAGTCAGTCTGGATAAAGCTAAAGAAAATATTAAAAACAGGACATCATACCATTTCCCCCCTTCCCGCTGAGTGTTTATTTTACAGCTTTTCCATCAGGTAGTCAACTGAAGCACTTCAGCACCAGAAAGCTGGCAGAATGTTAAGGGAAAGGAGTGATTATCTTGCCAACAGATGTGACAAAATGGTTTCAAGTTGGAAACAGCAACTGCATAAATGAATCAAGTGGAACAGGCAGAGAGGAGGGAGGATAGAAATGGAAGGAAATCAGAGGAAGTAGGGCGCATCTTCCCTCAGGATGAGGGGATGCATTATTTAGTTGTCTATGCATATATACGCCATAAAGTCAACATGCACACCTCGTGCTTCCCAATTCACTTCACCACTGCTTTACAGATGCTCCCAAGCCATATTCTCGAGAGAAAGCTACAATGGTCTAAACAGTAACAAAGGAGACTGCAGCAGTGTCTCCATTACAGTTTAATCTGTAAAGTTTTTTTTAAAGGATTTTATTTATTTAATTTGAAAGGAACAGTTGGGGAGGAGAGACTTTCCCTCCATTAGTCACAACTGCAGGAGTGCAGGGGCCCAAGCATGTGGGCCATCCTCTGTTGCTTTCCTAGGACCTTAGCAGGGAGCTGGATCAGAAATGGAGCACCCATAGAGGGTGCCAGCACTGCAGACAGAGGCTTAGCTTACCATGCAACAGTGCCAGCCTCCAATAAGGTGTTTTAAAGTGCTCATCACCATCTGGGCCCACTTACTGTAAAGATCCCAACGCTGCATGAACTTAAATTGTAGGCTAAATCTAATTAAACAGTCACTTATTCTAATCTCTCAAGTCTCCACTGCAGAAAATCTGCAAGTGATGATCCTGGGCTGCTTTTCCCTCACAAGGCTGCCTAACCAGCAGTCTCATATGGCAACACTGTGTTAGGTAAATGGAAGCAAACAGCTCACAGCAACAGCCCCACTCCTCTCCCAGTAAAATATAGTACTTCTTTTTAAGGCTGATTTTATTTTTTTGAAAGGCAGGGGTACAGAGGAGAAAGAAGCCTCCCAGGTGCTGGTTCATTCCCTAAAAGATAACAATGACCTTGACCAGGAGCTCAGAACTACCTCCATGTCTCCCAGCTGGCTGACAGGACCCCAACTCCTGCACAATCTTCTGCTGCTTCCCCAGGTGCGTTAGCAAGAATCTGGATTGGAAGTGGAGGAGCTGATACTCAAACCAGTGCTCTGAAATGGAATGCAGGTATCATGTTGTGTCAAGTGGCTGGTGGCTTAAACGGCCGCCTCCTAATGGGTAGTACTCATCGAGACATCAAACTGTCAAATCCTCAGAAGTATCAAACACCTGGTGATAGCACCACACACGGTTCATAAGAAAGGACCCAAGGACCCTAGGTGGCTTTAAGAATGACCGACAGGGAAATTCTGGCAGATGATTTGCACAGATGTTCTCTGTTTAGAACTGGAATATAAAATTAAAATATCAGCTTTGGGAACCAGTTTAGTTCAATTCTCTAATGCATTTAAAAGTTTATTTTATTTAAAAAAGTGAGAATAACAGGCTGTTTTCTTTCTACCTATGCAAATACAATGAGAAAATCATCTGTGATATCAAAATACTATTTGTAAATCACGGATGGCACTAACAACTTCAGGAACTTCCAACAGGACATATGTTTAGAAAGAGCAGGAGTAGGCTTCCAATTAGAGGCATCAACTTAATTTTAAGAACAGAAAAATGCTTCAAAATGTAAAAGTAATTTTAAGTTCTCTGGCTTTCAATAGTCGATATCCCATCATCAGGAGTTCAAAAAACACCTGGCATGTTCAAAGCTGCACAAATGCAAATGGATGACAGCAAAGTAATTCCCATGCAATATTCAAGTGTTGCTATCAGATATATTTAAGTGATACTTTACAGATTAAAGCTGGGTGAAAATCAAAATATATCGTCCCCATTACATTTTAAAACAGTCACAATAATTTATCAACAGTTGCCTTTTCACAGCAATTAGAAAACAGGAGTTGATACAAGTTGAACAAAAAGGAACTCTCCTCTTTTAGGAAATAAACACAGATATCGATATAGATATATACACATACACACATAACATTAAAATTCAAAGTGGTTAATTTACTTTTGTATTATAAAAAAAATATCTCCCTATGATCAAAATACTGAAAAAGTGCCAAGGCTGAAAAAAGAAAACCACGTTTGCCACTTTAAAAAAATACATTATTATCTCTGTGGTTCTACATAGTTTATTGATTACAAAGTTAGGTATTACAAGGACTCACACTCCTAGAACTGTACTGGACCAGATGGAATTCAATCCACTCTCCTCTCAGTTTCCAGAAAGGACACTCCTATCCAACCCTTTAAGATGATCAAATAAATGCCCCGGTTCTGAACTGTTGAACTGGAGAAATAAACAGGCCCACTTGGAAACAGTGTAAGTGATAAAAGCTTGTGACTCTGCGGGAGAATAAATCAGGAAGTTATTCTTTGGATATGTCAGGAGCTTGTGGAAGTATATAAACTCTTTTAGGTCACTTGAAGATGGATACAAACATGATTTCTGCATAAATAATGATTTCTCTAGTGCAGGAGTTGGGAGCCCACATCCCTATCCAGTGTATTGTCTGTTTTTGCAAATAAAGTTTTATTGGAACATGGCCAAACTCGGCTGTTAAGATATTGTTCATAGCTGCTTTTGTGCAATAGGGGCAGTTGATTTATGACAGAGAGCACAAGGCCTGTGCAGCCAAGAATCTCTACACACACAGAAAGCTCGCTGAGCCTGCTTCAGTGCTCCAGGAGCTGCTCTAGGTATCTAAAAACAGTTAATGCACCTCACCAGATCTTAGCGTGTACTCAGAGAACCTGCAGTTTGTTCCATTAGCGCATAAACACCAAATAGTTTGTTTTCAGCAAATACCTGTAGAAGTTAATTTAGAAACATTAAAGAAAGGGAAAACAAAAACCAGAAAAGTATATATGCCTGGCCATATTATCTTTATAAAAAAATTGACACAGGGTGGGCATTGCCATCTGCTGGTTCACTCCCTAAACACCCATAATGAGCTGGGCTGGGTCAGTGTTGGGAAGTTGAGCCAGAACTCACCCGGGGAGCATCTGGGCTGTCAGCACGGTCTAGTGGGGGCTGCGTGAGCAAGAAGCTGCTGTCAGCAAGAGCCAGGATACAGCACAGGGACACCCTGTGTGGGACACAGGTGTCCCCTGTGGCATCTCAGTCACACTCCTGGCTCAGGTTCTTAACATTTCCATATTCCTGGGGGAGAAGGATGCTAAAATGACTCTGTCATTCCAGTGGATCCGTAATATTTTCTGTAAGTAGTGCGTCCTCCCTCTCGCTCATACAATTAATAACCTTTAAAGCAATGTGTCTCAAAGACTTACAGTGTGGGGAAGCCTTTAGAAACAATTGCTTAAGCTAAACATATTAAAGATTGTTCTTTTAGAAAAGTGTTCTTAAAATTCTCTCTTTTACTTTAAGAAGGAGAAGAACGCGCAGGAAACTTTAACCCCTGGAAAATACACCTTAAAAAGCACAGGTATAAAACAGCTGTCATTTCTGAATGATAATAGAAAACAAAAACAGAAAAAAAAATCAGTAAACTCTGCCGAGTGAGACTTTCCTGTCCCAGATCAGCCAGTGGGCCACTGACGACAGGGAACTTGGCAGCTGCTTGGGAACCAGGAGTTCACAGGGCTTTCACAGCTCAACAGCTGTTGAAAATGGAAGGTGAAACACTGAGAAGACACTCATTAAGCACAACTTTGTCAAATTAACTTATTTTTTCCAACCCCAAATGGACTTTCCTTTGCTAAAGAAAAGTTTGACACCACGTGTTACAGATGTCTCTACAACAGCACCTTATATCTCTCACTGCTTTGCAGTTCCAAAGTGCTTCACGTGCCCTCTCATCCAGCCTCACAACAGCCCTGTGAGGTAGGTACAGCAGGTTTTATCAGCCTCATTTCAAGATGAGGAAGTTGAGGCAACGAGAGGTTAAGGGACTTGCCCAGGGTCACACAGCTGGTAAGTGGCAGAGCAGAGACTGGAAGTCAAGTGTTTCGACTTCTTATCCGGGACTCCTTCCACTACAACTACTACCTCCAGAGATGAGTAATGTATTGTGTATCAAAATCGAAAAGTGATTGAAGTTCATTTCACTGATGTCTTAACATTAAATTTAAATGAGAAATACAAGGACAGTAAGTCTGATGGTTTTAGTTGACATAATAAAACAGGTGCAAAATCACTTTTGTCTGATTACTTGTAACCTTTTGGTCCAAATACATAAAATATGCACTATTTACAGCATTTTCCTCTTTTTTTTTGTCCATAAATGCAATGCTTTAAAACACATTATAAAGCACCTTATTAAAAATAGTCTACAGGTAAAAGTACAGAAGTAGGAAAACCCGCCCCACACCACAGCTCACCAATGGAGTCCTAAGAGGAGGCCTTGATAGCTCAGTTTACAGCTTTACAAATAACCCATGAAGAAACAAACAGTACACTGCCTTTTTTGATATTAATGTGTTTAAGTTTTAGCTAAAACTTCAGATAATGCCGATGTTCTTTGAGGTTTATTCCCAATAATAAATATTGGGAAGACGGAAATAAGCAATACTGCCTTGACTCTTATCTTCTTATAACATTATTCATGGTTTGAGCTGTTATTTAATACTAATGATTATTTAAAAAAATTAAAACCACCTACATAAACATGAGTAAATCCAACTATAAGCAGAAACACTTCTTAGCAAACATGATCCCACATTCCAACAGTTTCAAGAGACATGATTCGCAGCAACAAAGCACACACTGCCCAACAGTTATTAACACTATTCAGTAGAGGTGTCTAACCCCAACTGCCAGCGCAGGCCTTAGTGTCAAACGGATCAACCTTCATTCATGGGTAGTTGAAAAAATGCTTTGCCAAAACCCAGAATATCAGACCCTTTTCTGAAATTGTATTCAGCCTTTGGACTAGATCTGCTTGTATTTATTTTAGGTGATAACACGGTTTGTTTCTCACCAAAATTCATCCAGAAAAAGGAAAAATGCTTGAAACATAAATCTTCTACCATACAGACACTACCTCCTTGGTATTATTACCCCTTCCAAACTCAGCTCAACACAAACTGCCAGGATCAGCAATCTCTGGCTGCAGAGCCAAGAGTGAAGGTGAAATCAGGGTCAGAGTTCTATTCAAGGATCTAAGTCACTCTTCGGATTCAGTTTGACTTGGGGTAAATCTTTTCATAAAAAAAGTTTTGTGCGAGGACGTAGAGGTCTCCATCTTTTTCCCGAACGGCATGGGCTCTGATGAACTGGAACTGCTCCAGTGCAAACTCGTAGAACTCATTCTCCATCTTCCAAATGTCAGACTGCTGTAGTTTGGCAATAGTTTGTTTAGTGGGGAGTTTCTTCTCTGTGGTTTTCCTAAGGTGAGATTTCTTTCCTACTTACAAAGGGAAAAAAAAAAGAAAGATAAATAACTTTTAGGAGAACACACCAAAGATCAACGTCTCTTTATTTGAAGAGATGGCTTAAGTTCACACTGAAATAAAGATAACGTAATTATTTTATTAACATAGTTCAGAAAAAACGTGGAGCCCATTTCATAGCAGAACTTTCATTAGACAACAATGAAATGTCAAATACTAAAAGGCCATTGCCACATATACCCTCTTAGCAAGTGCTTGGTGCACCAGTTTATTTTTAAAAATGATACACAGGCCTGGTGCAGTAGCCTCATGGCTAAAGTCCTTGCCTTGCATGCTCTGGGATCCCATATGGACACTGGTTCTAATTCTTGCAGCCCCAGTTCCCATACGGCTCCCTGCTTGTGCCTGGGAAAGCAGTCAAGGACATCCCAAGGCCTTGGGACCGTGCACCCACATGGGAGACCCAGAGAAGGCTCCTGCCACCTGGTTTCAGATTGGTACAGTTCCAGCCGTTGTGATCGCTTGGGGAGTAATCAGCGGATGAAGATCTTCCTCTCTGTCTCGCCTCTCCTCTATATATTTGACTTTCCAATACAAGTAAAAATAAATCTGAAAAAAATCGATACACTGTCTATAGTTTTTAATTCTAATTTCTCATAACCTGCTTTTTCTATAACCATGTCATGTGACCTGAGCGTCAGCACCTGAGGAAAAAGACATGCGAGGAACTAAAACAGGCTTATTCTGGAGCAAGAATCTGACAACTAGGAACAGTTTTTTCATTATACACACTTTCCATAAACTTTTTGAAGATGCTTTGCATTTTTTTAAGCTGTAAGAAACAAGAGGATTATGAGCAGCTTTGAAGAAAAGTATGTTGTTTCTGTACCTGTACGATAGAGTTCTGTAGCACCCCTGAAAAACCGGGGTAAAGCTGCCTCCAACAACATGATGAAGTCTTCCAGCTCTTCAGTGACTCCCACCAGGAAATACTCATTGACTAGGTTATACTTGGCTTGATCCATAGCCCACCTGCTTCCCACATTCCTGAAACCAAAGAAGAGGAATTAGAAACTGGGTTGTGAAACCTGCTAAGTATTTCTGATGCCTCTCACACTGACTATAACGGGCAAAGTAGATAAACACATGTACATTCAAAGGCTTCATGCTCTTTATTAATGTCTTTTGTGGAAAGACACCTGTTTTTAATTTCCTTTGCTTCCATCTCCAGTTTCTACTGAACTATGTGGCATGTAATTCAAATTTGACTAAACCATGCTTAACATGAACAAAGTTTAGGTTGAGGGCAGTTTTTAGAACTTAAATATAACATATATCCCCTCCCATCTGATGTGGTATGAATGCACTTAATTTTGCTAGTCTAAAACAGGTTCATTTTAAGAGCTCTCCAGGCAAGGTCTACACAATTTTACTGTTTTTATTAACTTGGATTAGGACTTTAGCGAGCTTACCATTTTCTGAAATTTCTAAGGAACAGAAAACAGATAGTAAACAGCTCTAAGAATATTTTATTTTTATTTTTGTTTACATGGACAGATAATGCTGTTAACAAAAATTGGGTCCTAAATAAACTGTATTTCCAGGTTCCTTTCGGCAGGAAACATCCTTTGATTAACCTCAATTCGTGTTCTGTCTTTAACCAGCAGTGTGTTCTTCAGTGGGTGGGATTTCCCTTTCTGTTTTCTCAGCTGTTAAAAGAAGGGCAGGAGTGAAGAGGAAGAAAAGCAGCTCATTTCCAAGGCCCCTTCCTGTTTCCTGACTATGGAATATCTAAAATCTCCACATTGCTCTACAGAGCAACACTCTATACTTGAAAAGCCTGGAGAACTTTTTCTACAAAGGTCCAAGATCAGATACTTCATGCTGTAGGTCACAATCACTCAGCTCTGGTGCTGCCGTGCAAACAGTCACAGACAGTATTAAATCAATATATGTGGTTGTGCTTTGATAAAACATTATTTTTTAAAACAGATGATGGGACACATCGGATGTACAGGCCATAGTCTGCCAATCCTTGTTCTACGCAAATGTTTCACAATTGAGAAGACATTCTTTCTATGTTCCCAATTCTTCTTGAGCTCTTACAATGTTCTCAAGCAACAGGACCTTAAACTTCACAGTAATTTAATAATATAGCTCAAGTAATGAAGAACCTCTTTGCATTTCTCATTATGGTTTCCAGGAATATATTAACACTGAATGTGCTGTTGTCTTCTACTTTTCCTATTAAAATGACTGAATGCAGCCAATAAAAACACACAATTACTTTTAGGAACTGAAAACTCAGCATATTCTCAGGAAGAAAATTCTATATTGAAAATAAAAGTTTCTATCTTCCACCTTATGATTATTAGCAAACTAAACTGTAAGCATAACCTTGGATTCCCTTAAAGTCAAAATCATTGTAACAGTAAAACCAAATGAATAATTTACCCACTAAGCCTTTTCTTGATTCATCACGAATGACTCAAACAAAATACAATTTATAAAATGACCCCTGGTCTATAATTCAGAACTGTGCTGGCAAGCACTGTCAGGATATTACAAATGAGAAATCTTTTTAATGCATTCCAAGATAACCACAGAACTAGGCATTACTTAATGGTATGTTGCTTTCTGCCTGGTCCTTCACTGATTTCCCTGCACCCAGCCCTTGACTACACATTCACACTTGTGAAATACAGAGTACACTGATAACAAGGAAAACGGGAAATTCAAGCTAACTTTATCTCCCTACCAGCATTCTGAGCTGTGGCCACAGAAGAAGGGGATTTGAAGCCAGAGCTTCTCTGGAGCGCAGTCGGAGCCGCCCTCGGCTACACACTCATCAAAGGTCTGGAACAAAGGCAGAGCAGCACACATGAGACAACAAACCGAGCCTCGCAGTCCCACCATCTCAATACGCTGTGTTATTAAGTACATGCACAAGAGTAGATAAGACGATAATTAATCAAAGGTTACCAAGAAGAGGGACAATGTGAATTTTTCTTACAACTTTGTTTTATGGCAATGTTTAGAAGAATTCTTTCATTATATAAATGTTAAGTCTCGCAAATAATTAAATACGTCCTGGTTCATGTTGGGTTTGTGTAACTCTGTCTCCCAAATAAAGAAACAAATCAATTTTTAAAAACAGAGAGAAAGGCTTTATAATCTGATTCCGAAGTACTAGCACAGCCTTACTTTTGTGTGCCTTCCATTTTTTTTCTTAAAAGATTTATGTTTATTGGAAAAGCAGATCAGATTTATGGAGAGAAGCAGAGATAAAGATCTTCCATTCACCAGTTTCTCCCCAAATGGCCACAACAGACTGGGATGAGCCAACTGAAAGCCAGGAACCAGGAGCTTCTTCTGTGGCTCCCACATGGGCACAGAGTCCAAATGACTTGTGCCATCTTCTACCACTTTTATATCCCACAAGCAGGGAGCTGGATGGGAAATGGAGTAACCAGGACATGAACTGACACCCATACGGGATCCCAGCACTTGCAAGGTGAGGATTTAGCCAATGAACTATTGTGTCAGGTCCTGTGTGCACCTGTTTTGTAATTGCTCAAACATGTCATGAGCATCCCCAAATTGGTATACCTTTGCTGACTACATTTTCTTCAACTGAAATTGCCTTCCCTCGACCAATGTAGTTTACACAAGGCCTACTTTCTAGAGTCACTACTCTGACTTAAAGTCACTCTTATAGTTGGCTTTGAGAACCTGGGTATGCATATCTACACATGTATTGTTATTTATTCAATATGTTCTTTGTGGTTTTGAAAATGTGTGCTGTTTTGTGTTTCAAAGGGGATCATGTAGAAGGCATTACAGCCTTCGCACAACACGCACAGGTCTGTACAAACTGCCTGCACGAGTAATATCCGTAAAGGGTTCCTGGAAAGACTGTTTACTTAAGGATTCATAGTATTAAAGATGCATCTTTAGAAGCTCAAGACAGAATGGTAAAATGTTTTCATAGACATATTTTGACAGTTGATTACATCCTTCCCAAGTTCTGTGTCTGTGTTTGTGGGTGGGGGTGTGTGCATACCAAAATTTTTTTTAACTTTTTCCATTTTTTATTATAATTTTGACAATCTTTACATAGTTAATGAGGGTAAAAGGTTCAAAGGCTACAGGAAAATGGGTAAGACTATTATTTCCATCTTGTTTCCTTCATGTATCTGAGGTAAAGGGGGATATTAGGGGAGAAGTCCCACCCAGTTTCCCACCCACCCCAGATCCCAGATGTGGGGGGCATGCTCCGAGATTCTTGCTCAAGTGGTTTGATAGTTCACCAGTTATGAATTGCTGCCATCCTTGGCACTCTAAGCATGATAAGGTCATTGAGGAATCCACTGATATAGTCCATCTTAGAGTCTCTGTTTGCCAAATTTTTCACTGCCAACATGTAGCTGAGGTGGTTGATTGACTTGTTCTGTCTTCTGACTTTTCATGGTTAGGGTTCTGAGTCCAGCAGTTCAATTGCGGAGATCCCCAAAGAAACTCCGAGGTGTTCCCAGACCAAATTCTTGTATGTACTAGCAAGCACAGGGTCGGGCACAATCCATCACCCCGAATAGCTGGTCACTGCAATCGCTGGGTTGGTTCTATTTTCAGCCCCGACTTCCATTGGAACCAATGGGTGCTGCAGTTCAGCCTGGTTCTGCCCAGCACATACTTGGCGCTCACATTAACCAGTGGGAGCTGTAGCCTAGTCAAAGTGACCCACAATAACCCCCAACAAGCCCGCCCCCTATCCTGGTTTGCCAGTATATGTAGCAGACTAGTCCAGTCTGTCCCACATCCCATTTGACTCTCGAACATGTCAATAGATATTAAACTTTAGTTCCATCTAACCAGCTCCACTATCCAGTCCTCACGGATGTTGTTGGGTGCCTCTCTGTCTAGCCACCCCAGCCCCTTGCCTAGTTTTCATGACCTCCCATTGGAGTGGTAACCCAAGAGGGAGGAGCCCACTATTTCCCTCCCAGGCTTCTCCCACTCCCAGATTATGCACTCCCCAGGTGGTTCCGTGGTTTGACTTGACAGAATTAGCCCCCAGTGCCAGCTTCAGCCAGCTGATGCTGCAGGTAAGCCCAAACAATCCTCACCCACTCTAATTTTGTTTGTACCAGTAGTAATAATCAGCCCAGCCTGGCTTTTCCCTGATCCAGACCACATGAGGCACACAGGTGTTGTAGCCCTGCTTAGTTTGGTCTGCCCCCATCCCAGTTCACACTCTCCAGCGGGAGTAGCTGTCCAGCAGGGGAGTACCCTCATAGTCCCTCTGCCCCCTCCCTTCCTGGTTCTCACATGTGCTGGCTGGGCACTGCAGTCACATCCGATACAGGTAAACTCACCTTGGCAATCTGTATTGTGTACTAGTTTTTGTTGTGACCGAATCTGGCTTGACCCACACTCTGTTCCGGTGCTCAGATTTGCCAGCAGATGACATGAACTGACTCAGCCTGGTCTGTCCCAGACCCATGCCAAATGTATGCCAGTGGGAAACTTTCCATGGCCTGTTCTGGGCTGTTTCCTATCATGCTTCTTGTGCTTACCTGCCAGGTCTGTGTCCTGCCAGAGGAGTTGCCCAGGCTCCTCCATCAGAATCCCTCCCAATGCCAGATTTTGCGCATGCCAGGGGGTCTATGAGCCAGCCCTACTCAGTTCACCTCCTGTCCTAGCAGGAACAGTGGCTTTTCCTGACTGGCCTTCAACCCAATCTGGTTCTTGCTGTTGGATGTTTCAGCCCAGCCATGGCTCGTCCATACCCACATATGGCTCACACATGGCTCAGAAGGGGCTGAAACATAGCCGAGGCGTCCCACATCTACCTTGGTCCTCCAGAGCACCAGATGGTGTTGGAGTCTAACCCGGCTTGGTGCATCCAGTTTCAGTCCACACTTGTGCCAAGGGAAACTACAACCGTATCCTATCAGAACGCAGCCCCCATTCCAGCCCACATGCCCCTTGGTGGGAACTTCAACCCAGTTAGGGTGCCCCTTAGCTCCCCAACTGGGCCTGTTCCCAGCACTAGATCACACACATGCCAGTGGTTGTTCTGACTCAGCTTGGCTCAGCCCCTCACCTGTCCCAGCCTCTGCCTTAGACACTGTGGCTTAGTGTCCCTGACTCACGCAGACCAGTAGGTGCAAGAGCCTAGCTGGCATGACCTGTGCTCCATCCTGGTTTCTAGTTTTGCTTGTGGGCTAAGGATTGCTCAGTCCTGCCCAGTACACCCCATTACATTACCAATTCACACACTGGCCAGCTGTTGGAGCTACTTTTCCCAGCTTATCCGACCCCCAGATCTGGACCACATGTTCACCAGTGAGAGCTATGACTCGCCAGGGGTGTTTCCCAAGTTCCTCCACTTGATCCACTCCCAGACCCAGTTCTCATACATGCCATTGGGTTTTAGGCCAGTGTCTGGCATAGTCTGGCCTTCCATTTGGCCTTTGTATGAGCTGGTGAACGTTGCAGCCTGGCCCGCCCACACCCTATTCAGGATGCACATTCAGGTGCTGCTGTCTTGACCAGTCCAGACTGTTGTGGGTTCCTTTACCTGTGATTGATGGCAGTCTCCTTGGTCACAACTAACTTAGTCCATCACCACCCCAACTCTTGAGCTAACCAGTGGGGCTAAAATTTCCACAGGGATTGGCCCACACATCCCCCACAGAATCTACCCCCGGATATGGTTCTCTCGAGTGCTAGTTAATGTCTTGGCCCTGCCTAATGTGACCCTTCTCCTGATCCATCATCACGTCAGGTAATAGGATATGATCCTGCTAGACAAGCTCTGAGTCTTAGCTTTTGCATGGACTGGTGTTTGGTGGTCAGCATTGTTCAGCGATTACAAGTTCTTCAAAGGAAAAGTTACTGTCATTGGAAATCTTTAGGATTGATTCACATCCCAGAAGCACAATGGGTTCAACGTGGAGCTACCTAAGCAGCGAATCAAAGAACCAAAACCCTAGAGCTCGCGGCCGGGTGGCCTGCAGGCAGAGACTGGTGCCAAATGGTATACTGGCCGTGGGGACAGCTTACCATGTGCACGCGGTGGCTGGAGTCATGGATCTGAGATGGAGATGGCCCGGCCCAGCACCCACCAGCAGCCAGCAGGCTGCTAGAAGTTTCAACCCCCAGGCCCAAGGTCGCGCCCCTCCCCAATTCCATCCACAGCTCAATGAGGGCGGCAGGTGGGCCCCGGGCTTGCCCAGCCCCCAGACTTCCCCTCTCGGTGGGTGTACTCACCCCGAAGGGAGTAGCCCCTGGAGCCCAGGCAGGCCAGGGGACAGCTCACCACGTGCACATGGTGGCTGGAGTCAGGGATCCTAGCTGCATGCCAAAAATTTTTTTAAGTGAAAAAAAAAAAGTAGGCCAACACTCATGATTAAATACAATATTTCTGAATTTCTGAAGATGGACTGACTTAGATTTGCTACACAAAGACATCTTCTAAAGCAGTGGTTTAACCAGTTATGCCAACTTGGCTCATTAAAAAAACAATAACAAAACAACTACACATATCTATCTTTCTACCATGCTAAAAATAAACCTTTGGCCCTTACTGATGACAGAATGGAAGGTTTCTGACTACCCATCATATCCAATTTCTCACAGGTCCTAACTCACAGTATGCTTTTCTGGAGATAATTAACTTTGTTTCTTACTCCTCTATCTGAACAGAATATAAGACCGGCAAGGCATAGGGTATGGAAGGGCTTTGAGTTGAGCTCACAGTCTCGACTACCACCACATGTGTGCATGAGTTCTCTGAGATTAGATGACATGAAAAATTTTTGATGAGTTTGCTTGAATGCAGAAAAGCAGGA